TTGGATCCCTATTGCAGTGTGTTTTCACCTTGATATAATCAATCAGTATTTATTGAAAATCTAATATGCATTCAACACTACTTGAAATGATAGGAGATAGAGGAAAAGTAATACACATGGTGTCCCCTACCATGACACACATGATAGGTGACATTCATATAAAAGACACACTGCTAGGGGTTGTGGCATAAATCAGATCATCTGGTCAAGGGAGCATACTGGAATTCAAATAAGTGACAGAAGTGTTATCTAAAGGGAATCTTGAATCTATCCATATATATCATTCATTCACAGACTTGGTACTTTTTTTATTAGTAACAAATTACTTGCTGTATATTATAATTTACCATGGCACACCAGTCTGTTATGAAGTGACAGTTGAAAACTGCTGTGTTGGAGCTTATGACAGTAGGAGGGACAGGATTTACTGCTATAAAATAACTGAATAATTCAGGATAATATAAAATATACTGAAATGGGATATGAATTATTACTGCTCCTTGAGGGCTTTTATAGTCAAGGAAAGCTTTGTGGAGAAAATGGCTACTGAAAAAACAGATAGCGTATCAGCCCAGGTTCTTAATTGTAAGGAAGAGAAATACAATCTGATTGATTTTAAGCAGAAAAGAATTTATTAAAAAGATACTGGGATGTAATGCATATCCTTTGGCGCCACAGTTTCATTCCTAGATATACAGCCAACACACACATATACATGTGTTTACCAATATATGCAAGAATGTTTGCAACAGTGTTTGTAATAGAATCAAACCAGAAACTATCTAAATGTCCATTAAAGGTAGCATAGATAAGTAGTTTCTTTTTCTTTTTCTTTTTTTTCTTTTTTTGAGACAGAATTTCATTCTTATTGCCCAAGCTGGTGGAGTGCATTGGTGCAATCTTGGCTCACTGCAACCTCTGCCTCTCGGGTTCAAATGATTCTTCTGTGTCAGCCTCCTGAGTAGCTGAGATTACAGGCATGCGCCACCATGCCCAGCTAATTTTTACATTTTCAGTAGAGGCGGGATTTGGCCATGGTGGCCAGGCTGGTCTCAAACTCCTGACCTCAAGTGATCCGTGCTCCTCGGCCTCCCAAAGTGCTGGGATTACAGGCCGGAGCCACCACACCTGGCCTGTATTCACCTGATCATAGAAGGTTATACAGCAGTGAGCACAGACTGCAATTACGCACAGCATGGGTGAATCTCACAAAACCTAAAATTGAGTGAAAGAAACCAGACACAAAAGAGAGCATAGTGAGTGATTTTATTTATATCAAGTTGAAAAATGGATAAAATTAATCTGTAGTGTTAGAAATGAGGATAATGGTTACCCTTGTGAAGGGAATAGTAACTGGAAGGGGAAATAAGGAGGGCTTTGGAAGTGTAGTTGACCCTTGAACAACACAAGTTTGAACTGTGTGGATCTACTTATGCATGGGTATAAGGCTCAAGCGATTCTCCTGCCTCAGCCTCCTGAGTAGCTGGGATTACAGGTGCCCACCACCAAGCCCAGCAAATTTTTAGTGGAGATGGGGTTTCACCATGTTGGCCAGGCTGGTCTCGAACTCCTGACCTCAAGTGATCCGCCCACCTTGGCCTCCCAAAGTGCTGGGATTACAGGTGTGAGCCACTGTGCCCAGCCCTCCTTATGATTTTCTTAACATTTTCTTTTCTCTAGCTTTATTTTCAAAACACAGTATATAATACATATATAACATACAAAATATGTGTTAATTAACTGTTTATGTTGTTGGTAATGCTTCCAGTTAACAGTAGGATATTAGTAGTTAAGTTTTGGGGGAGTCAAAAATAATATGCAGATTTTCAACTGTGCAGTGGGTCAGCACCTGTTCTGGTAATGTTCTGTTTCTTGATACAAGTGGGTTTGGTTTGTGAAAATTATTTGAGCTGTAGACTTAATATTATGTGCACTTTTCCCTTACATCTGTTATACTGTGCCTGTTTCTGTACATATGTTACATATGAAATGTTTATTAAAGGGGTATATTGGGTAACTCAGAATTTCTGGTGCTCCTGGCTATATATACCAAATCCCAATTCAGGATTCAACAACCCAGATCATGCCACTGAACTGCACTACCACTGCCAAGTGTGAAATTGCAGCTTGCTCTGCTGGCCTTGTTGCCTGGGAGCTTGATCCTGCTTCTGCCACTCCACACCTGCCTCCCAACCTGCTCCATTCCTGGCTCCATTTGCAGCCCTCCTTTCAGCATGTGGGGTGGATACCTTTGTTAGGCAGAGCCTAGCACAAGTGGTCCTCCTTACTGCAAGGGAGTCTGTGAAAGCAAGTATCCAGTGTTTTCAGCTTTTATAGTGGGTAGTGATTTTTGCCAGAAATTGTAACAAGGGGACAAGGGGTATTTCAGATTTGGGGCAGCCAAAAAGAGAGGAAAATCCATCTTTGAGGTGAGCATTTAGGCCAGTAGAAGAAAATAGACTTCAGGTGTTAGGAACAATAGAAGCCCAGGGTAGAGGTTGAATAGAGTATGGCATTTGAGCCCAGTGGAAACAAGTTTAACTGGATTAAAGGGTGTGCTCTGGGAAAATAGTTTGAGAAAAGTTGAAGCAATAGGATGGGACAAGATTAAAGATTACTTTGAAAGTCAGGCAGAGGAATTTAAATTTCATATGGGAATTTTGGAACCAGGAAAAGTTTTTGAACAAGAAAGTGTCGTAAAAGGAAATGGTACTTAAGGATTGTTAATCTGGCAGCACTTCTAGGGGTATCTAGGCATTGTTTGTCATAATTTAGGTATGGGGTGATAGATTGGGAGTAGAAATAAAAGGCAAAGATTGGATTTAAGAGAAGATTTGAAGGAAAAAAAATCAACAAGACTTCTTGAAGAGAAAGAAGTAGAGGCTATTTCTGAAGCTGAGCTTGAGTGACTGATCCCACTCTTCATTTAGAGCTAGCGAGGCTGAGGAGGGACCCAGTTTGGGGGAAGTAGAAGAATGAACTTTAGTTTGAGAATTGCTGACTTTGAGGTGAGAGATATTGAGTAAAAGTGGTCCCTGTGTAGTTAGAGTTGGGGACCAAGAAGTGGAAAGAATTGTACTCCCAGGCATAAAGACTGAAGGGAATGGAACAGAGTATGCCAGAACCCTCGGGGTGTTTCTCAGCTCTTGTTTACAGGCCACCAGGTATACTATCTTGAATTTGATTTCAAGTGATACGTTTGAACCACAACCTCTACCTTCTGTTTCATAAAACGTCAGTTCTCACACCCCAAAACACATTGATGCTATCACTATTATACATGATCTTCTTCCTGTTATTCTAATATCTTTGGAAAGAAAACGATTAACACATTTGAGGCTTTTCTTGGTTATTTTCAATACTTTTGAATGCTTTGAATACAAGGAGAATAATATACTAAAGCTAGAGACCTTAAACAAGACCAAGAAAGACTGAATATAAAAAGCAAACTTCCAGTTCATTAAAATTGTAAGTTGGAGCTCTTGGCTCCACGGCAGGGAGCCTTGGATCAGTAAGTGTGACAGCTCCCTTCCGTATTTTACTTAGAAAAGAATGATCATAAAACCTACTTAGGCCTCACAAGGTCTTTTTGAGCCTTAGCCAATGCATTTAGTCACTGTCAGTAACCACAAGCTTTAGTATAATATTCTGGCTTGCAAAGCAGCCAGGTCTCCAGAGCATGACGATAGGCTCTTGTATACGACTTGAATGCTGTTGCCGAGGCATACCTTCTTGATATTCATCTTAGCACTTTTCTCTAGTCTATAGCATGTCCGTACCTGTAGATGACAGTGGATTGCTCAGATATTATTAAAGAGTATGCAAGTATCTTAACAGGAAACAGCTTACTCTTTGGGTAATGTGTGATACAGTGAAGAAAATCCCTTAAATGGTTGCTCAATATTTATGCTGCTGGCATGTGTGCTGGAATATTTTTTCACCTCTGAATTCGTATTTTGAGTCCTTGGGCTCTTCAGTTTAATAGGTAATGTTTCTATGTTTAAGTGTAGAAGATCAATCATGTTAGCTGAAAAGTCCCAAGGCTTTTCTGTCTCTGTAATATTTCTCTGCCTAAAGAGGTAGCAGGTTGAAAATTTAGGAAGTAGCTTTGTGTCAAAAAATTCATCAGCCTTTCTAATCAATTAGATTTTAAAGTGAAACAAAGTGATAAACTTTGCATTTATAAGAATTCATGTTTTTCTTACGGATTTAACAGCCCTTTGCACCTCTGCTTCCTTGGTTACATGATACTTGGAAAGAATATCTGATCACATCAGAATAAAATCATTTGAGAAGACATCCATGTGTCATAGGTTATGTAGCTTGCAACAGGATTTAAAGCAACAAGATGATAGAATCTATCATTATTTTTGCAGAGAATGTTTCACCAGCTGGTTTGAGAGGAGTTTTACACCCCTACCAGGTTTCTCTTACCTCATTTACCTCAAAAATCACAAGTCCTAACAGGCAAACTGTAATAGCCTAAAACAAAACTAGTAAGGTATAAATGCATGTGGAAATGGTTATTTGAAGGCAAAAGGCAAATAAATGTCACCAGTCTGAGCCATTACCTAAGCATCCTAGGTCTAGTAACCATTCTTTTGGTAAGGGATAATGCCAACTTTTTTATCAATAGGATTCTGTTAAAAATACAAAGAAAAACAGTCAGCAGGATACTATATATATACACACACACACATATATATACATGTGTATGCGTATACATATATATGTATGTGTTTATATATAGTATCCTGCTGACTGCATGTATATGTATATACATACATATGTATATATGTATGTATATATATGTGTGTATATATGTATGTGTGTATATATAGTATCCTGCTGACTGCTGACATATATTTATGTGTATACAGAGATATACTTTTGTTTCATTTTAGAGCTGGTTGAACTTCAGTGGTGGATAGAGCTTGTTTTTAATTTATATGTATTTTTGTAGTACAATTTTAAAATCTTATTTTTTAAAATAAATCCAGGAGCTGTGCAGTCTTACGCATTGGAACTTAATTTGACAGATTCAGGAAAAGCCACTTGCCTTTATGCAAAATGGCAGATGAATTTCACAGTACGCTATGAAACTACAAATAAAACTTATGTAAGTATATATTTTAATTTTTCTTTGAGTTTTATAGTAGGAATTTAATTGACTTTTTTAATCCTTTAGATACATGTATACAAATGAAATTCCACATTGACTGACTTAATGCTTAAACTCTGGGAGTTTTTTTAAGCATATACACTCGGAAGTTATTCTGTTTAGTGTTAGAATGAATATTTCTTCTGATTCATTGGTTCTTGGGAGTTTTTGTAGGACTTGATTAAGGGCAAATGATCTGAAGATGACTATATGGTGTTCAGGTCTAACTATTTCTGTAAAGTGTTTAAAATGTACTAGCACCAAAGCTTGCCCTTTTAAAAAATAGCTTCCCTTCTGGGCGTGGTGTCTCATGCCTGTGATCCCAGCATTTTGGAAGGCCAAAGCAGGAGGATTGCTTGAGCCCAGCCTTGGCAACATAGTGAGACCTCATCTCTACCTAGAAAAAATTTAAAAATTAGCCAGGCATGGTGGCATATACATGTAGCTCCAGCTACTTGCCAGGTCGAGGGGGGAGGATTGCTTGAGCCCAGGAAGTTGAGTCTGCAGTGAGCAATGGTTGTGCTACTGCACTCCAGCCTGGGCAACAGAGCGAGACTCTAGCTCAAAAAAAAAAAAAAAATGCTTACTTAGGTTGGTACAAAAGTAATTGCCATTAAAGGAACAAACCACAATTACTTTTGCACCAACCTAAGTAAGCGATTCTTTTTGGCACAAACTGCAATTACTTTTGCACCAACCTAACACTAAAATCTCCCCTTTTTTGGTGTCTCCTCTTGATCCCTTTGCCTTCTTATTTTCTTTTTGTTAAGGTCGTGACTACTTACAACCTAATTTTTTAAAAAGTCAGTTTAAGAACAGCAGCTCAAGCCAGTTTTCCTTTTCTTTTTAGACATACATGAATTTATCCAGAGGAGTGGTATGTAGCTGAAGAATCAGGGACTGGTTTACACAGCAAACCAGGCAAAGGGCAACCTGGCCACGGAGAATGTATGATTTAGGCTGAAGTGGCATGCCCTGCATAAATGGTTGGTGCTACTTGCTCCCTGTTTGTTTCTCACCCCCAAATTTCTATTTCTTTTAGAAAACTGTAACCATTTCAGACCGTGGCACTGTGACATATAATGGAAGCATTTGTGGGGATGATCAGAATGGTCCCAAAATAGCAGTGCAGTTTGGACCTGGCTTTTCCTGGATTGCGAATTTTAGCAAGGCGGCATCTACTTATTCAATTGACAGCATCTCATTTTCCTACAACACTGGTGATAACACAACATTTCCTGATGCTGAAGATAAAGGTAACCTTAAGAATGGATGTGTGTTATGTTCTCTTGCTTTTTATTAATGATAATGTAAACAATTTAAAAATTGTTATGAATGTCTGTCTTCCTAACTAGCATGGAAACTTCATGTCTTTATACCCCTCCCACCGACCCCATGCGTAGCACATATGCCGCCATCCAACACACTGATGATATTTGCTATCATTGCTTGAGTGACTTACTGTATACCAGGTATTACCCTAAGTGTGTCACCTGCAGCATCTCACTTAATTCTTTTTTTTTTCTCTTTTTTTAAAAATTTATTATTATTATACTTTAAGTTCTAGGGTACATGTGCATAACGTGCAGGTTTGTTACATACGTATACTTGTGCCATGTTGGTGTGCTGCACCCATCAACTCGTCAGCACCCATCAACTCATCATTTACATCAGGTATAACTCCCAGTGCAATCCCTCCCCCCTCCCCCCTCCCCATGATAGGCCCCTGTGTGTGATGTTCCCCTTCCCGAGTCCAGGTGATCTCATTGTTCAGTTCCCACCTATGAGTGAGAACATGCGGTGTTTGGTTTTCTGTTCTTGTGATAGTTTGCTAAGAATGATGGTTTCCAGCTGCATGCATGTCCCTACAAAGGACACAAACTCATCCTTTTTTATGGCTGCATAGTATTCCATGGTGTATATGTGCCACATTTTCTTAATCCAGTCTGTCACTGATGGACATTTGGGTTCATTCCAAGTCTTTGCTATTGTGAATAGTGCCACAATAAACATACATGTGCATGTGTCTTTATAGCAGCATGGTTGCAACCTTGGGAAGTAGATGTTGTTTCATTTTTACAGGCAAAGGAAATGAGACTTGATAAGATTAAATGACTTCCAAACATCTCACGATCTAGTAAGTGGGTGAGCTGGTGCTTGAAGCAGTCTATTGACCTGCAGAAGTTGTATACTTAACTCTTATTGATTTCATTCAGTAGTGGGTACGAAACAAAGGTTTGATGAATGAGAAAATGCTTTACTAATAGCTACTTTATTTTCAAGATGGGGAGTCTCACTATGTTGCCTAGGCTGGTTTCGAACTTCTGGGTTCAAACGATCCTCATGCCTCACAGCCTCCTGAATAGCTGGGACTACAGGCATGCACCACTGCACCTGGCTACTAATAGCTGTTTTAAATGTGTACAAGTTAAGTAACTTGAGATTAGGAGAACTGCCTCTTGTTCAAATCTTTTTATCCTTTAGGTTGGATTTTGATTGAAAAGCAAATGATGATTAGTTAAAGGTATAGTAGTCCCTCATTACACTCAGGGGGTATCATACTAAGACCTCCAGTAGATGCCTAAAACTGCAGTTAGTACCGAACCCTATACAGGAAATGCTATTTTTTTTGATCTGATAACCAAGATGGCTACTAAGTGACTAAACGGATGGATAGTGTAGACAATGTTGATATACTGGATAAAAGCATGATTCATGTTCCTGGTTGGGCAGAGTGGGACAGCAAGAGATTTCATCATGCTACTCAGAACGGCGTACATTTTAAAACTTATGAATTGATTACTTTTGGAATTCTCCACTGAATATTTTCAGAGCTCAATTGACCATGGGTAACTGAAACCAGGGAAAGCAAAAACTGGATAAGGGGAGACTAAAGTCAACATTTGCTGTTATTTTAAGACAATTTCAGGTCAAAATGAACTTGGGAAGGCATCGGCAATTAGGCCATTCTAGTAATTCCCAGAACTGAAATGCATGTTAAAATATTTTGAAGATATAGAGTGTAGAGGTTTTATTTTATTTTATTTTATTGAGCTGGAATCTCGCTCTGTCGTCCAGGCTGGGGTGCAGTGGTCTGATCTCAGCCCACTGCAACCTCTGCCTCAAGCAATTTTCCTGCCTCAGCCTCCTAACTGGGATTACAGGTGTGTGCCACCACACCCGGCTAATCTTTTTTAGTAGAGACGGGGTTTTGCCATATTGGCCAGGATGGTCTCGAAATCCTGACCTCATGATCCACCCACCTCAGCCTCCCAAAGTGGTGGGATTACAGGCGTGAGCCACTGTACCTGGTCGAGATTTTAATTTTGTTAGGGATGTAATTCTCTTCTTTCTCCCCCTGCCCGTTGAGACTAAGTTAATGTGGTATTTGTAGTAGCTTAGCTCTTCACACAGATAGTGTTTCATTCTGACCCCAGAAACACAGGTAGATGGGCTTCAGTTGCCTAGACCTGGGGATTAATAACTCATTTGGACTTATGGATATCAAAAGATCATATTTGAAAGAACCAGAAGTAAATAAGCTCATGTAAAACTTGGGAGGTATTGCAGAATGAGACTTGGAAATCAAATCCTAGTGTTCTTTTTACTAATCTCTTAGTTTGAGAGTATAACTAAAGCAAATGGTTATTGCCTATCTTATTAGTTTATCTTTGTACCCTGTTTTACCTTTCAGAGCTAGTATAAGATTTGCCCCTCACTTTCAAGTAGCCTAAGAATGAGCTGGGGAGACAAAGCTAAATGCTATTCCTGAGTTACATGGAAAAATTGGAAAACATTGAGCGCAGTCTGATTTTGTTGTTGTTGTTTGCGTTTTTGTTTGAGGGAGTAGAGGGTTCATAAATCTCTTCTGACAGTGTGAGGAAAACTTTAGACTCCCTCTGAAAAAAGAAAAAGTACACAGTAAACTTTGCATATGGAACATAGTCCCTGAACCCATATGTAGATCCCTGTGGTTAAGAGTGCCTGATTTAGGTCGAGCATGGTGGCTCATGCCTGTAATCCCAGTACTTTGGGAGGCCGAGGCAGACGGTTCACTTGAGCCAGGGAGTTCAAGACCAGCCTGGGCAACATAGTAAGACTTCGTCTCTCCAAAAAAAAAAAAAAAAAGACTGGCTGATTTAAAAGTGTTCCCACAAGTGGTCCTGATTAGGAGGAGTGATAAAGGAAGGCTTAGTGTGTGTTAGAGTAGTGAGAAAGCTTGGTAGAGAAGTAGGACCTGAGCTGAAACTCAGCTGATGGTAGAATTTGAATAAGTGGAGGATTTTGAGCAGGATGTTTCCAGCAGGGGGAAGCACAGCATATGCGGCAGTAATTGGAGAGATGCCTGATTAAATCGGAGGCTGTGTGTGTAGCAGAAGGAAAATAAAGTTGGTTAAATGCAGTGGACCTAAATTATAGGGACCTTGGAAGCCAAGGAAAGACATTTAGCTTCATGGGGTAGGCACTGGGGAATCATTTTAGGTTTTTAAAGCAGGAAAATGATATAACAAAAGCAGAGACAGTAGCTTATAAAGAATATTCTGCAGGATTAGTTGAGAAGTGAGGAGACTGCAAGCAGAGATGCCGGCTTAAGAAGCTGTTATAGTAATCAAGGGCTGATGTAATAAATGCCTGGACTATGGGGGCAGCAGTTGTTAGCAGTTATTAGGAGGAGGTGTTTAATCTGACATATTTGGATAGAAAAACTATGGACCCTGAAATGTTAACACTTCTCTCTTTCCCCTTTTATTTAAAACAAAAGGAGGATTACTTTTTAAATTACTACCTTCTGTGTAATAATATTTGAAACTATTGGGAATGCTAAATGGCTTCCTGAAATGGACTATTGATAATTGTTTTTGATACAGTTCAGTGTTTCAAGAATACTAATTTATGGCCGGGCGTGGTGGCTCACACCTATAATCCCAGCACTTTGGAAGGCTGAGGCTTGTGGGTCATTTGAGGTCAGGAGATCGAGACCAGCCTGGCCAACATGGTGAAACCCTGTCTCTACTAAAAATACAAAAATTAGCCGGGTGGTAGTGGTGCATGCCTGTAATCCCAGCTACTTGGAAGGCTAAGGCAGGAGAATTGCTCGAACCCGGGAGGCGGAGGTTGTGGTGAGCCAAGATTGCACCACTGCACTCCAGCCTAGGCGACAGAGGGAAACCCTGTCCCCTACTCCTCCCCCCAAAAATACTAATTTAGGCCAGGTGCAGTGACTCATGCCTGTAATCCCAACACTTAGGAAGGCCAGGCAGATCGCTTGAGCTCAGGAGTGTGAGACCAGCCTGGGCAACATAGTGACACTCTGTCTCAAAAAATAACAATAAAAAACCACTAATTTATTTTTAGGCATGTGATAATTGAAGTAACATTGCAGTTGCTTTATTCTTTTTAAAATTTTTTTCATGATTAAAATATAGAAATGTACTGGCCAGGTGTGGTGCTGGCTCATGCCTGTAATCCCAGCACTTTGGGAGGCCGAGGCAGGCAGATCACCTGAGGTCAGAAGTTCGAGACCAACATGGCGAAACCACATCTCTACTAAAAATACGAAAATTAGCTGGGCGTGGTGGCGTGTGCCTGTAATTCCAGCTACTTGGGAGGTTGAGGCATCGGTTGAACCTAGGAGGTGGAGGTTGCAGTGAGCTCAGATCACGCCACGGCACTCCGGCCTGGGCAACAGAGCAAGACTCCATCTCAAAAAAAAATTATATATATAAGTTACATATATAATAAGGGTTTCTTAAAAGGCCCTGCATATATATATACAAATATTCTATATATATAAAGATTATATATGTATACAGAGAATAATATAGCAGACCCATATGTACCCATTATCCAGAATTCATAAATGCTGTTTTTTTAATGTCTATGTCACTGTTTGATTAAAAAGATAAAATGTTGACGATACAGTTTATATTTCCTTTGTCTTCACTCCCCAGACCCATTTTCTTCCTTGCCTGCTAAGAGGCAGACACTTTCACGAATTTGGGGTATAACCTTCCTGTCTTTATGTTTGTTTTTCACTACATAAGTACATGTTCATAAACAATACATAGTTAAAAAAAGCTATTCATAGTATAACTCCAATATGTCTGCAAGTTGTCTTTTCACTCATTTGTTTTTGAAGTCAGTCTATATACAGCCAGTTCACGTATCTATTCATTTTTGTTAATGGTGAGAAGCAATTCTGGGAAAAATGTTCTAGTTCATTGTTTTTTGTTTGTTTGTTTGTTTGTTTTTGGTTTTGGGTTTTTTTTATTCCTATGGCCATTAGGGGGTGCCAAGGCAGCATTATATGGCTGCTTGCTACATGATGGAGAGGCACAGAAGGCGGCATATATTAAGGACCTTGGATACTTTTCCTTTCTTGCTACTTCTCCAAAAGAAGCCAAACCACTTAGGTGACCATCATCTTTTGAAGTTTCACTATACGCAGGCTAATAAAAACTATACGAAATGGCTGTAACTTACTGCTTTCATATTCTGAAGATTCCCTGAAATTGAATCATCTTTAAATTTAATCCAGGAAGAGGTTCTATAAGCTCATTGGAGTTAATATAACTTACTTGGGACTAGTAAAACGAAAATAAGGATTTACTATACAAATCCATGATTAATCCGTCTCTCTTGCTTCCTTAGTTACAGTCACTAAGTCCTGTTGATTCTACCATAGATAAGTGTTTTCAGTTTGGCTTCTTTGCTCTCTTTCTGCTGCCCCACACCATCTTAGTTTAGGCAACCCTCCCTTACCCTTCACCTTAACCAGACCATCACCCTCTGGTTTCCCTCTTAAGTGGCTTCCCTGAAAAGTTTTCCCCCATGCCTATCCCCTACAAATTTGCTATCTTCCTTAAAATAAATTATGTATGTGTCATTTCCTGCTTTAAAAACGGAAGCTAGCCCTCCACTGCTAAAAAGAAAAGCCCAAACTGGCCTTAGGTCATAGAAGATGCTTCAAAGTATGATTACCTGCAACTTGTCTTTCCTTCTCAACCCCCATTTATTTTTCTTTTTTTCTTTTTTCTTTTTTTTTTTTTTTTCTTTTTTGTCTTGAGACAGAGTTCTGCTCTTGTCATCCAGGCTGTAGTGCAATGGGCGATCTCGGCTCACTGCAGCCTCCACCTCCCGGGTTCAAGCGATTCTCCTGCCTTAGCCTCCCAAGTAACTGGGATTACAGGTGCCTGCCACCACACCCAGCTAATTATTGTCTTTTTAGTAGAGACAAGGTTTCACCATGTTGGCCAGGCTAGTCTCAGACTCCTGACCTCAGGAAATCCACCCACCTCAGCCTCCCAAAGTGCTGGGATTATAGGCGTGGGCCACCGTGCCCAGCCCCTAACCCCCATTTCTTCTTCCCCCTTACTCCTTATGTTTTAGCCACAGTGAACTGATCATGCCCTTGAGCATGCTATACCCTTTGTCACTTTAGGCCTGGGGTAGGGCAGGCAGAGAGAAGAAGAAAGCCTATACAAATATATTTACATTATCATTTTTCTCCTACCTTCTTGGAAATAGCCATTGTTAATCTTGTTTTATAGGAATTATTACTGTTGATGAACTTTTGGCCATCAAAATTCCATTGAATGACCTTTTTAGATGCAATAGTTTATCAACTTTGGAAAAGAATGATGTTGTCCAGAACTATTGGGATGTTCTTGTACAAGCTTTTGTCCAAAATGGCACAGTGAGCACAAATGGTGAGTACTTAAAGTATGTATTTCTCTACTTGGATCCTAATTTAAGAGTAGAGTATACCAGGTAGCCTTCATTGAAGTCATTATCTGAAAGCATTTGTGTATTAAGATTTATTCATAGCTTCTACTAGGCTATAAAGTTTTTGTAAATAATAGCAATTCGTATTATTGTGGAACTTACAATTTAAAGTTTTTGATGTACAAGTTGTGGAATGGTCTTTAAAAAGACACTAGCTATACTGTTCTCAACTGATAAAACCTAATCATTGTTTGAACAGCTCCTCGGATAGCTTGATTATCAGCTTTTTTTTTTTTTTTAGCAGTTCCAAGACCAAAGCTTAGAAATCAGATGCATGTTCTAATCTTGAATTTTTAAAGTGGATTTTGTAATTTTTATATAGCTTTATGGAAAGGTAATAATTTTTCATTCACCAGTGCTGGAAAACTACTGACACTTCCTAAGAAGAGGTTGAAATGCCTATGATTTACCATAGGGCTAATGCAAATAAATGGTTCATTTGTATTTAAGTCCTTTGATGATTCCTAAGCTTTTTTCTGGTAAACAGTATCCGTCCTTATGGTGGTTGTATGTGGGAATAAATAACCAAAAAATTTAAGACTTAAATCTCTGAATTTCATATCAGGCAGGCAAAGTTCTTTGGGAATAAAAAGATTTAAGGGTCTGAAAAAGATGAGTATGTGGCCATGTGTGAGCTGATAAAGCATATGGATGTGTCCTGAGTTTGTCTGCTGTGTCATAACTCATATAGATAGTCTGTATATGAAGCAGCAGTTTAAGAACCTCTGCCTAATTTAGTTTCACATATACTAACAAGATATTCTCTTCCCCTAATATAACCCTTTTGGACTTCTATTATGAGAAATTTTTTTGGTTTTCCCTGGCCTTATGAATTAAGAAAATGTCCACTTTGGTTTCTTTTGTCCCTTTTTGCTTGTTTTAGAGTTCCTGTGTGATAAAGACAAAACTTCAACAGTGGCACCCACCATACACACCACTGTGCCATCTCCTACTACAACACCTACTCCAAAGGAAAAACCAGAAGCTGGAACCTATTCCGTTAATAATGGCAATGATACTTGTCTGCTGGCTACCATGGGGCTGCAGCTGAACATCACTCAGGATAAGGTATAGGTGTCTATTTTTATCAATACATCCTTTTTGTATTTCATTTCAAATATTCCGTATCCTACCTTCAGCCCAAAGGTAGTAGAATGGTTCAGTTTTTTGTTTTGTTTTGTTTTGTTTTTTTGAGACAGAGTCTCGCCCTGTCGCCCAGGCTGGAGTGCAGTGGCATGATCTTGGCTCACTGCAACCTCCACCTCCAGGGTTTAAGCGATTCTCCTGCCTCAGCCTCCTGAGTAGCTGGGATTACAGGCGTGCACTGCCACGCAAAACTAATTTTTTTGTATTTTTAGTAGAGATGGGGTTTTACCATGCTGGCCAGGCTGGTCTTGAACTCTTGACCTTAAGTGATCCACCCGCCTCGGCCTCCCAAAGTGCTGGAATTACAGGCATGAGCTACTACACCTGGCCTGATTAAGTTTTAAATGGAGATTTTATGTTGGCTTGTTGAACTTTGATTAGTTAGGGGTTACTATAACCATGAAGTGTTAATGTCACTTTCAGGTGTTGTGTTGGCCGGCAGAAAACCTAGCAGTTTAAAGTACTCTTTGGGGTTTAGATTCTATTTGCCATCAGTGGATCAGAGTACAAACAATTGGCCTTTATTTCGGTCAGTTTAAAATATAACTTCTTCACACTTTGATCTGAAATGCAGTGTAGGTTGGCGTACAGGAATGGCACAGCTATCCGTTTCTCCAGCTATTTGATGACTCGGATAGTGTAGATGTGCTCAAGTACATGATGGCACTTCTAGTTGCAATGTTCCACTGAGGCTATAGAGGGAGGGAGTGCCAAGGAACAAATCCGATTTCCAGGATCCTGTGACTTAAACAAGCGAGACAGATGGCTCTTGTGCTCCATAAAAATATGTGTGTTCATTTGGCTCATTACTGTAGAAGCTTTCCTCTTGTTTTTTTTTAAGTCATCTGAGTCATAGCTTGAGGACCCACGCCAACTTTGTTTGAAAGTTAAGACACCATGAATTTAAGTATCCAGACAAAAGATTTTTTGATCTATGCTGCAGTTGGTTTTGGTAGCATATAAGGCTTTGCTGGCCACTTTTATAGCTAACCTGTATATTTTCTCTTTTTTCTTCTCTTGAAGGTTGCTTCAGTTATTAACATCAACCCCAATACAACTCATTCCACAGGCAGCTGCCGTTCTCACACTGCTCTACTTAGGCTGAATAGCAGCACCATTAAGTATCTTGACTTTGTCTTTGCTGTGGTGAGTAACAGATTTTTCTAAAGTTAGGTTCATTCTCTTAGAAACACATCTGAAAGTCTAAATAATTGCATGGGGAGAGGGGGATATTTAGCTTTATTTTCCAGTTCTACAGTACTCAATTATAAAGTGTAGTCCATTCATCCCTCAGAGTCTGTGCAATGGTCTGTGGACTGGACTCTTGCATTAATGTTCACCAAGAGTGGCCATTTTGCCATTATACAGACTCTAGGGTAGGAGCAAGAATTAACTCACATCAAAAAAACACAATTGTCTAATCTATCCATATATAAGTAATTTCCATGATAATTTTTTCTCTGTTATTGGTTAGGTGATGCTCATGTTTTTCTATGATACTATTTTAAGCCATTTGGAGGCTATATTATTTGTAATAGTGTCAGTAATAAAAATAGGTAACATCTATTGAGTACTATGTACAAAGCTCTTTGTAAGTGTGTATATGAATTCATTAAATCAGGACAATTTATAATGGCAGCATTCAGGTTTTTGTTGTTGATCAAGAGCTGAAACCTAAACAGAAGGTTTTGGGTTAAGCATACCTGTTCTGCTTCTTGCTAGCATAAATTAATCATTGGGGACCTTTATTTCCACCTTCTCAGAAGCAATTATTATTCCCATAATTTCTTTGAGGGGATGTATGTGTGAACGTGTTGTGGCAAATGAGACTGGTGGAATAGAAGATAGCTATAAGTGAGGGAAAATGTTGAACCACCAACTATTCTCAAACTAAATATATTGTATAATTAGATAAAAACCAATTCTGCTTTTAAATCAGATTACTGTGTTTGGGGATGGGAAAATAATCTCAACATCTGATATATAAAAAGTAGGTATGTTGTTATTTCGTATGTGAACTTGGTATTTTGAATCTAAAGCACATTTTTCTCTTTAGAACATATGCCGAGTAATTGAGGATTACATTAAATGCTTACATTTTGGAAAGGTTTACGAAAATCTTCCTTTTTCCAGCATTCACATAATTCCTCTGTTAAGTACCATGTGACCAGTGAATTACTATTGAAAATGTCTAATTAAACTTGTCCTCTCCATTATGGTAAAAGCAAGCCTCAGGCACATTCTCTTTTAAAGTTACCTCATAGGGTCTGTGGTCAATAAGAACGAGGAAAGTAGTATTTTGGGTTTATTGCCTTTCAAGTGATTGAGTTTGATCTTTCTAGCTGTGGTAGACTCCTAAAAGGAACGTGATTTCTCTTGACTCTTATATGGCAATGTTTAGTATTTAAGAATTACAATATTTAAGTTACCCAGCAGGCTATTTTAAAATGTAATCCAAAATAGTGACATTTTAATCATGCTACAGGCACTCTGAAAAATCAGAGATACCTGCAATGTCCCCAGAGTTCAGTGGGACCCATTATTGCCTTCAACCCTGTCATGACAGATGCTCCTTAGGAGAATTTATAGAACTTGAGTGCGTTATGTGCAGGCTGCTATGGTGGGTTATGAGGAAGAAAGCCAGTATTCTTAAAGTGCCCACAGTTTAGTCGTAATGGGAGAAATCTACAAATAATTACCATTTTTGTGAAAGGCCTACATGCCATGACAAGGCTTTTGAACTCGATTCTGTGGGCAGTAGACTACTGTGGAAGGTGTATATGAAATGGGATGAGTGCCAGACCAGAGAATTGTACAAAGTGCTGCAGGAGAATGGAGGAGGGAGAGGTTAATTCTGGATGGAGGAGAGTCAGGAAGGTTTAATGGCAGAGATGGCATTTGAGCTGGGCCTTTGAGGATGGGTCAGATTTGTATATAGGGAGATAAGGAGAGTAAGTGGGAAAGTACAGGTTATCCCTGGATAAAGGGCATAATCAAGACCAGCTGGGAGAATGAGGAGTGTTATATGTTTAGTGAAAGTATGGAAAAGTCGTTGGGACAAATTGTGGAGTCTTGAATGCCAAGCCAAGATGTAGCCTAAGTTGAGGAGGGATGTGATGAAGGTGTGAAGTCCTCCTGTATGCTTCCTCCTGAAATTTCTCTCAAGTCTGTCCCCTAGCTTTTAATCCCCATTGCCTTTGCTCTGGGTCCAGTCCACATTACCTCTTGCCTGGACCATTCAAACAGCTCCTGCCTGATTGCTCCTCTTCCTCACCTTCTCCAATGTTCTACATCAATGTAACCTTCCTAAAGCACATCTCTCCATCAATGTTTCTCTCTTTCTTCCCCTTCCCTTCCTTCCCCTCCCCTCCCCTCCCCTCCCCTCCCCTCCCCTCCCCTCCCCGGACTCTCGCTCTGTTGCCCAGGCTGGAGTGCAGTGGCAAGATCTTGGCTCACTGCAACCTCCGCCTCCTGGATTCAAGTGATTGTCCTGCCTCAGCTTCCCGAATAGCTGGGACTACAGGCACCTGCCACCACGCCTGGCTGATTTTTTGTATTTTTAATAGAGATGGGGTTTCACCATGTTAGCCAGGATGGTCTCGATCTCCTGACCTCGTGATCTGCCCACCTCACAGTGTTTCTCTTTTGCCAACAAAGTAACATCTAAAGTCCATGGCTGGGTAGTTCAAGCCCTCTTTTCTCCCATGCAATGCAGCCTGCATTTTCAGCCTTCACTCCCTCTTTATGAAACTTATGTTTCCTTCAGTTCCTTCAGGGTGCTTCCCTCACCCTGTCCTCTATGCACTTCTTGTGAGGTAAGAGAACATAGTAATAATAATTACATAGACTCTGCAGCCATACTTTTTGAATTTAAATCCCAACTCACTGACTACTAACCGTGTAGCTTTGGGGGAAGTTACCTAACATGTCTGGGCTTCGATTATTCCCCAAATGGGGATGATAACAGCACCTATTGCATAGGAGTGTTGTAATTACTCAGGGAAGCATCATATGTAAAGTTTTAAGAACAGTGCTGGGCACTTAGTAAGTGCTCAAATGCTAGCATAAAAATTTGAGATTATGCTTATTTTCTAACTACTGTTATTTATGCTGTTGCTCTCTCGAATACCCCTTTTCCTGCTTGTTTCCTAAGAGAATCCTGCCCAGTTCAAAATGCCCCGTCACTAAGCTGGCATTACTTTTTCTCCTCCCTTAGTTGGAAGTGATTTCTCTCCTATTTTCATGACTTCTTACTTTCTTTTTTGTAATATGGTTATTTATGTGTTTACCTTGCCTTCCCTGGCAGATTGCTAACAGGGTGAAGGCGGGATTGAAGTGTGGTTCATTTTGGTAGCTCCTGCTGTACTCGCACTCTGAAATTATTAGAATGACTGGCTGATCAGATGAGTACTTCAGAAAGATAATAACAGTGAAAAGGAAAGATTAGGGCTGGAGGGGCTGAAAGGCAGGGAGCCCACTTAAGAGGCTGCTATGATCCAGGCTGGAGGTGGTGAGGTCTCAGCAAGTGACGGGAGGAATAAAATTGAGGCCATAAATCTTCAAGTGTCTGAAGACTACAAGTGTCACATGACTACACCTGTGCTCCAAAAGTTGGAAAGAAAATACAGAGGAAAGGGGTTTCTGTCAGATTATGAGTTCTCTTTTACTTAGTTACAGTTTATTCTACAGCATGGTTTCTTCTTCTGTGTAATAGTGTTAGATTGCTTTTCTTCTGTGGATATTAACTGTATCTGTTATCTGTAGACAGCTGTGATATGTTAATTAACTGGAAGCTCTTTTTCAAACAGAAAAATGAAAACCGATTTTATCTGAAGGAAGTGAACATCAGCATGTATTTGGTTAATGGCTCCGGTAAGCGAAGCATTGGCCTGGGGAAAAAGACTGTGGGTTACCCTGAAGGATTAGAAATTACAGTGGTCTTATTGCCAAATTGCGCCTTATTTAATGAAACAGAAGATGCTATGTAAAAAGTGTGCCTTGATCATACCTTAAAATCAGTAACTTAGAACTATGATGTTCTGTCTTTTTCTGTATCCCATCTTTTCAAAGTATGGTAGATAATAATTAAGGATGTGACTGATTTTTAGACTATAGAAACATCTGTAGAAAGGTAGGGGAACCTAGTGATTGTAAGAATTGCTTTTTGTGGGTTGATCTTGTCCCCCAGGCTCCTGTGCTTCACTGAAAAACCCTGAGGACTGTTCCTTTTTTTTTTTTTTTTTTTTTTTTTTTTCCCTTTTTTTTGAGACAGAGTCTCACTCTGTGCCCAGGCTAGACTGCAGGGGCGTGACCACAGCTCAATCCCAGGTTCAAGCCAACCACCCACCTTAGCCTCCCAAGTAGCTGGGACTACAGCTGTGTACCATCATGCCCAGTTAATTTTTTTTTTTTTTTTTGGTTTTTTGTATTTTTTGTAGAGACAGGGTTTCGCCATGTTTCCCAGGCTGGTCTTGATCTCCTGGACTCACGTGATCTGCCCACCTTGGCTTCCCAAAGTGCTGGAATTACAGGCGTGAGCCACTGTGCCTGGCCAACTTTCCCATTTTTGATGTTGATAGGATAAGAAGTTACTAACCTGTTTCTTTTCTTTGAAGTTTTCAGCATTGCAAATAACAATCTCAGCTACTGGGATGCCCCCCTGGGAAGTTCTTATATGTGCAACAAAGAGCAGACTGTTTCAGTGTCTGGAGCATTTCAGATAAATACCTTTGATCTAAGGGTTCAGCCTTTCAATGTGACACAAGGAAAGTATTCTACAGGTAAGAATCAAGCAAACTTCATTAATAATTTATGTTCTTATGTTGACTGATAGGTGGCTTTTCCTTTGAATCACAGACATTTAAACGTTGAAATAGAGGAATATGAATTCACCAGAGGTCTCATAGCCTTGAGCAAATTGTGCATCTCTATATTTGGCTCCTCATTTTGCTCAACCGAGATGTTTTTGTGATCTTAAAATCATTTGCAAAAAAGTTCTTAAAGCTAAAAACTGATAGAAGCTTTAAGTGAGCTTTATTTGAGGTATGGGTTTTAGTTTGTAGAGAAGATGGCACTTGGGAGCGGCAGCTTTGAGCATGTTGCATCTGCTTCCTGAGGCCGTCTTCTCACTGGAAACATTTTCATACCTGAATGAAAGCAGTTTGGTCTGATTTTGTTAAGACAAAAGATAAAAGAGTGGTAGCAAAACCTCAAATATCATGAACTATGTTTTTACAAGCCAAAACGATCTGGAGAGTTTTCAAAGCATGTGCCAGTGTGAATGAGGCTTTTTGAAGATCACTCAGGGCTAATGGTAGTATTTATTAGATTTTTAATGAAACCCTTGTGAAGGGTTCATTATAATGTGTTCATACGAATATGAAAGACATATTTGGCACTATAAGATTAAAATTTGCATGAAGAAAAAAAGCACGTAAAATTCCTTAATTGACTTGTCCTTTTAAGCCCATTACCTAAAATTGGGGGTTTGTGGATCACAACTCTGTTGAGCAGAGCTATTCCAGTCATCCACATCCTTTTCAACCCTTAATTCTATGGTTTGGAAGGAAATGTGGAAGCTGTGTTTAGAAGCGAATATACTGTGAGCCATTCGACTGCTTTTGCAGTGGTGTTGCATACCTAGTCTGACTTGGTTAGGCCACAATAAATTGGGCTCTCCACCCTACCATTCTTGTGGTTAAAGACATTAGTTACACTTTAAAAATATTTTCAAGTATTCATTTTCCCTTTTGCCTGTTTTGCTTATGCACTTCAATTATTTTGATCCTTTACTAGCTTTATTTTTGGACTTTTTATTTGGCTCCTCTTCATTACTCCCCTAATTTTAAGACCAGATTTGTGTTTACAGTTTAAAATCATTTGCAGTATTAGTATCATCACTTCAAGATGGTTTATCTAGTCAACTGTAATAGAGATGAGCTATGCTCTTTCTCTCACTTTGAAACTTTGGTTTTTATGTATGTAGAATTAAAAATATCACCCAAAGAGATATACAACATTTAATACTAATATTGAATGTATAATCTATTCGTGGAACTAGGTTCTTGGCTGTGGGTACCTATAAATACAACACATAGGTAATATTTGACTGTAAGGGAAGGAAATAGAATTGCAATAAGGCAGAAGAGTGTTGATTGGATTTTACTGGATCAGACCACTTTCTAGAAATAGAAAAAAATAGCCCCTTTAGGCTGCCAACCCTGACCAGATAAGAAATGCAGTAAGCACACTCAAATTAGTAAGAGGTCCCAGTTTCTTGACTTTGCAGCCACTAAAATTGTATGTTCTAAGTCACGATCTGCAAACTTTAAAGTTCCAAACAGTAAGTGTTTTAGGCTTTGGGGCCATATGGTCTCTGTCACAACTATTCAACTCTGCTATTGTAGTACGAAAACAGCAACACATAAACAGATGATGGGCTGGGTTCCAATAAAACCTTATTTATGGACACTGGAATTTGAATTTTATATGCTCTCATGAGTCACAAAATATTTTTTTCAACCGTTTAAAAATGTAAAAGCCCTTTTTAGCTCTTGAACCAGATTTGGCCCATGGGCTACAGCTTGCTGACCCCTGACTCTAAAGGGACTCCAGAGCCAGCCGGGCTATTCTCATCACATGATACCTTCCTAATCCTGTTTCTACTTTCCCAAAAGACATTCATGCTACCACTGAGAGGCTAATCTGGCTATGTAAAAGTGGGCTAGATTAGCTCCCTTAATTTCTGATAAAGTAATACTCCTATTTTGGAAAGGACTTGGAATATAAACAAACATATATGTGTGTATATATGTATATGCAAACATATATATCATGTATATAATGTGTGCATTATATATCATGTATATAATTGCATTATATATCATGTATATAATGTGTGCATTATATATGTATATAATGTGTGCATTATATATCATGTGTAATGTGTGCATTATATATATCATGATATATATATTATGATATGAGCTGTGTTTATAGATGTAAATGAATATGCGTGTATTCATATATATGAATATCTACATATATACACATAAACAAATGAAAGAACAAAGTCTTAGAATTTTAATTCTAGAACAGTTCTCCATTTTCTATAGCTTTATCATAAAAATATACCTGTCTTAGTTACTTGAAGTTGATCTTGTAAGAACATTTCTGACTTTTAAATCAACATCTTTTACTTTAGGACATTCTTTTGTGATTATACTCATTATTTGTTACACACTTTTTCTCACCTACAGCCCAAGAGTGTTCGCTGGATGATGACACCATTCTAATCCCAATTATAGTTGGTGCTGGTCTTTCAGGCTTGATTATCGTTATAGTGATTGCTTACGTAATTGGCAGAAGAAAAAGTTATGCTGGATATCAGACTCTGTAACACTAATCAATACGTGATCTCTGTTACAAAAGAAAAAAGCAAGTACAAGTTCCAACATGCAATACTGGTCAATTTAAGGTATATTTAGTTGCAGTCCGGCTCTTTAGAATGGGTGGTGTGGGGGATTTCAAACTTAAACAAAAAACTATCAACTACAAATCAGTTGCCTGACTTTGGTTTCTCCAACCAAGCAATTTAAAACTTATTTTTACAACAAAAGATGTGCAAAATCACTGAATTATAGGTTCTGTTTTACTGTCTTGAATTAGTATTTCAGTGTTTTCATTTTAGACATTCAGACTAAAAATACACAGTTTAGAAAAAACAATTTTTGAAAAAGAGATTTTTTTTTTTCCCTGCATGTAGTTGAGTTGGAACAACATGTTCTACAGTGGATTTGTACTTGCTCCTTTTGCTCTTTTTTTTGTGATTTTTGTTTGCAGGTTAACTTAGCTACTTTGGCATTGCTGCATATTTGACCTATGAGAGATATATTAGTAGATTTGAACAGGGGCTGGTATTATTATGTTCTTAGCAATAAATGCTTTTCTAATGCTTTTTGAATATATTTGTATTTATGTGGCTGCAATGACAAAAGATACAAAAGCTTTTTAAAATTTAGAGTAGGTATTAATCTTATTGTTTAATCCTTTTTTTAAAAAACTGGATATTTCAATCTTTTAAATTGCAAGATGCAAAGACTATTCCAACAGGGCATTTCAATCCATTTTTTAGGTGCTTTAGAGATAATTGCTTGCCAGTGCCAATTGAGGGCATTAGTACTTTGTGCTCATAAATTGGCCTCTGTATGCAGTACTTAAATTAATGCAGATTTCTCTTTAGCCTTCCAATATTTCTTGTTGGTAGTGATGTATTTTATTATTTTCTTTTTCTTAAGAAATGCCAGTGTGTCCTAGAACCTAGATAACGAAGTGCACTTACACTTATAAAATAACTTGCATCTAGGCTGGGCGTGGCAGCTCATGCCTGTAATCCCAGCACTTTGGGAGGCCGAGGCGGGTGGATCACTTGAGGCCAGGAGTTTGAGACCAGCCTGGCCAACATGGTGAAACCCCGTCTCTGTTAAAAATACAAAAAATTAGCTGGGCGTTGTGGCAGGTGCCTGTAAACCCAGCTACTCGGAAGGCTGAGGCAGGAGAATCGCTTGAACCCGGGAGGCAGAGGTTGCGGTGAGCTGAGATCGCACCATTGCACTCCAGCCTGGGCAACAAAAGCAAAACTCCGTCTCAAAAAAAAAAAAAAAAGTGAAAAAACAACAAAAAAAAAACTTGCATCTAACCCAAAAGTCTTGGTCTTCTCTTAATCCATTAAAAAGTTGTTCTTTGTTTCCAGCTTGCATTGATTGCTACAACAGTACTAATTTGGCTTTCACATTTAAATGGTTCTGTGCTAATCAAAACTTTCATTGTTATTATTCGTTATGGTAGAATCATTATTAATTCATGTGCTTTGTGTTCAGTTTTGTGCTCTGAGAGATGCACCAATTGTCAAATTACCGTGCACCACCTAATGTTTATAGGAGAAAGCAAAATACATCAGCTTGATAGTTAACACATCAAATATTTCTTGCTGCTTCTGGGAGAACTTCTTTGGTGTGTGTTGGAATGGCAGAGCAAATATTAAAATTGTTAATATGCAGCCATATATGGAAGGTTCTTTTGGTTTTTTGTTTTTTGTTTTTTTTTGGTGGGGGAATTATGTGCCTCCCATTCACTAGAAAATGAGAAAATGTTTGGGTTCCGAAGTATTGATATTGAATGGATCAATACACACACACAGACATACATACATATATATATATATATATATATATATATATGCACACATATATAGGCAGTTGCATGCTAGCATGTGTATTTTTATAACAATATAACTGAGTTATATTGGAATTACAAATATTTTCTGTCACTTAAATTTGCCCTTTATTTAGCCTGAAAACCTTTATGGCTCAAGATCAGATTCCTGACTAACCCCTGTCTTAGAGCTACAGCGAGCTGCATTACCAGCTTAAAACACTTCTTAAAGATTAAATATAGATGTGATTTTTCAAAATCATATTTTATTTAAACTGTGTTTTAGTGTAAAATTGTTAACCTTATAAGATGGATAATGCGTATAAGAATGTAGGCCTTAACTATTTCACATGAGTCAAAACAAAGCAGCTTTAAAAAAATAATTGGAAGCACAAGTGTGTGGCACTGACTGAATGCTGTTAATATTTCTAAAAGTTTCTACATTCAGATTATATGCCTGATTCATAGTAAAATACCTCTAATAAATACTGTTTTATAGAAAACCTGACTTCAGTGAATATTTTTGTATTTTACACGGGCCAGTTTATACACTGCTATTTACACTATTATTTCCTATAGCTACGTGTTCTTTGTACCTTTTGTAGTTTTATTTGTATTACTGGATTCATACCTTGATGGTAACCCTCTATTTGGTTTTGGGTGTTTTTCATGTTTTAGCATTTGTGTAAAGAAACTGGTCCATGTAAATACTTTCCATGTTTTCTTCCTCAAATGTTTAAACCACTAGTTGATGTATGGTATCTTTAGATATTTGCCTGTCTGTTTACTCAAAATTGCTTCTAAAACAATAAAGATTCTTTTATTTCTTAAGGCAATTTGCTCACATTTTTTCCCGTTGGTTAAAGTCAAAATTTTGTATGCTACATAATGGCAATTTCTTTCAAATGGAAAAACTTTGGAAATGTTTAGAAGTAGAACTAAATTATTTGCAAAATGTTCTGATGTTCTGTCTGTATATTACTATCTGGATGAATGGTCCCATACATAAGCCTCGACTGATGGTAGGCAGGCTACAGAATAAAATTCACTTGGGAAGCGTTTTATAAAATATAAAAATAGATTCCAGGCTCCATCCCTAGAGGATTTAACGTAGTAGGTCTAATGAGGAGAGAGAGAGAGAGAGTGTGTGTGTGTGTGTGCGTGTGTGTGTGTAAGCTCCCCTGCTGAACCTGATGCATAGTCAGTTAGGGAACCAGTGATCTAGAATAGTTATTTCATCATAAAAGCTTCAGAGTATCTCTCTGTACATTTTTCTCAATTCCTAAGTTGAGGTTGATATTTAATATCTCTACATAGTAGCTTTACATTGCAGCCATACATATTGAGCTATTGATCTGAACCAACGTAGGATTGTGTCCAGTCTCTCTCTTACTTAGATCACCCTAAAATACTTGAGCCTTCCAGTTTCCATATACAAATAGTTTCCTAAGTTTCCTAGTCACCTTACTATATCACATAAGAAAACTTAGCAATATAGGTGGTAACTTTTCTCTGAATTACCCAGTTAAGCCATGTGAACGCCAGTTAGTCATCACGGCTGCAAACTCTGCAGTTAACTACCATTGTCTTTGGCCAAGTTGTTTAACTTCTAGTGTCTCAATTTCTTCATCCAGTGGGTGGGGACTTTAAAATCCTGCTACTCATTTCTTTGAATGATAATTTGCATTTCAGAGGAATGCATCTTAGTATTTCATACATCTTAGTATTTTAGAAGGAATCTGATAGGAAGCTACTTGTTACGTATCAAGAACATACTGTAAGTTCAGTGTAAAATGTACCACTTAAGTTTCCTGCAGTTTTTCAGTAGGAATTCTTATAAGACTCAGACATTTTTAAGATTATAGTATTTCATCTGTTTATTTAGATAGATCATGTTAACTTGTCTTGGGCTCATCTTCCACCCATCTCCTTTTCTTTTACCCTGGTAGCTAACTTTCTGCGTTAATAATTACCATTTCTTCTCCTTGAAACTGGTATACATTTTCATGAATGATACTGAGTAGCTTCACAAATCTTTTCAGATGCATGTGATTTACTTAACACAGTTTGATTATAGATATAAAATGTATATAACAAATAAGATGTCACCTAAGAATGTGCTTCTTAATGTTGATTCTTCCAAAAAGAAGTTTTGACTCAATTGTTTTTTTGTTTGTTTGTTTTGTTTTGTTTTGTTTGAGATGGAGTCTCGCTCTATTGCCCTGGCTGGAGAGTGTGTGTAGTGGTGCGATCTCAGCTCACTGCAACCTCCGCCTCCCAGGTTCAAGCAATTCTTGTGCCTCAGCCTCCCAAGTAGCTGGGATTACAGACAAGTGCCACCATACCTGGCTACCTTTTGTATTTTTTTAGTAGAGATGGGGTTTTGCCATGTTGGCTAGGCTGGTCTCGAATTCCTGACCTCAAGTGATCCGCCTGCCTCGGCCTCCTGAAGTGCTGGGATTATAGGCGTGAGCCACTGTGCCTGGCCTCAATTGGTTTTTAAGAGAAATTGTACTAGTTTTTGTTGTATACCTCAGCTTTCCAGTTCTTGTGTTGAAAATTGTATTTGAAAAATATCTGAACTGGTAGAAAATTGAAGATTAACAGCATTTTTAATCTACATGAAACTTCTTATTGAAATTTTAGTGGCCATGGAACTTTTTAAACTTTAAAAATCTTTATTGCTTCTGTGGCTATTAAATTCTTCTGCAAATACACTTTTCTTTTCCCCAGAAGCATTTTCAATATAGTGTTAAGTATACATTAGGCAAGTAGATAGGTCAAAATGACTTATAGGATAAGACTTTCTTTTCTTCAGAATGTGATCCCATTAAAGTTACTGTTTTACCAAAATTTTTTCCATTAACTAAAGAATTTTTAAAGGTTGAATTCATACAATCAATAGTTATTATAAATTAATATTTCACATACTAATTGAGAGCATTTTAAGTAAGTGACAGTATCTAGAAAGATCTTTGTATTAGCGGAATTGCCTTTTTGAGCTACTCTGGGAATATTTGTCTTACATGAAAGCCTTATTGGCAGTATTTATGAAAGTCGTTTCAGTACTAGGTCAAATACCCAATTTGGGAAAGAGAGAACTATGAGTCTGTTGCCAGAATAAGAAATTAATCTACTAATGAATCTTTTAAAAACCAAGTTATATTAAACCCACGGCATAATACTTTATGGTACATGTCACCTAATAGTTTATGGGCTGGGTGGTAATTTGGGAAATTGTAGGGGAGGTGCTAACTGGGGACTCTTAACACCATCTATTCACAGGTCACATCTAGCAACCTCAGCTATCTGGATTCTTAACAGAACCAAGAAGCAAGTAAAAAAAATAATTGAACTGGCAGCCAAAGTCAATGTCAGAAAAGTTCATAAACTCCAGGGTTGCATTTTGTTCCTAGTTATTGCCCCAGAGGCTAGTAGGGGGTGGGTGGAAAGCTTGGCACATTTCTTGAATGCAAGCACAATCACAATTGCCATGCAGCCTATTTGTCCTATCTTTGATACAATTCTAATAAGCTTAGTTATCTGATTTATCAGTCCCTAATAGACTACAAGCTAGGCAGAGAACTAGGGCAACAAGACACAGGAAATGGGAAATAGAAGTAGCAGTTAACATCCTTCCTGCAAGTGTATCCATCTGTATCATTCCTTCCTCCTCTCCAGTCTCAGAGTAGATTTTCTTTTCCTGGTTAAACTGAGGCAAACAGTTATGTCATCAAGGCCCATTTATATCTCTTTTTCCATTACTGAGTGACCCCCGATTGTTATGTATTGAGTTCTTATGTCTTATGCTTTTGGAATCCCATTTCTCTTGCCTTGTAGGAGAACTTGTACCAAAGCATCTTCTGTCGATTGCTAGTAGCTCTTTCCCCCATCCTATTTAAGTTCTTCTAACCTGAAGCTATCCTTTCTTATCCCTATGTCCCCCTTCTAATTACCTCCCTTTTGTCCTGTCTTAATCATTCCAAACTTCTCAAAATGAGTATTGTATTCGTTACCCTGCCCAAGTTCTTGATGTCCTAACCAATCCCTTCCCATTCCCTCTTAAACCTGCAGCAATTCTACTCATATCTCCCACCCTTCATATTGCTAGAGGCAATGGACATGTTTCAAAGCTCTCTAATATTATTTGCTGTCTTTCCGCCCTAATTGAAACTTTCCATCCTAGGCTTCTCTGGTGCCATTTTCTACCTGCCCTTTTACATCTTTTTCCTACTCCATTGTCTATTCCACAGGTATTGGTGTTCCCAAGGGTTTTTGTCTCTGGTCCTCTTTTTATTCTACTTCCCCTTACTGAGAAATGTTCTTGCCTCATGTTTTAACTACCACTTAGGTTCATATAGCCACTTGGTCACGACATAGTCTTTTTTTTTTTTTTTTTTTTTTTTTTTTTTTTTGAGATGGGTTCTCGATATGTTGCCCAGGCTGGTCTTAAACTCCTGAGCTCAAACAATTCTCCCATCTCAGCTTCCCAAGTAGCTAGGACTATAGGTGTAAGCCACCGTGCTCAACTAAGGACACGGGTATCTTAAACTCACATATCCAAAACTGAGCATCTCTCTCTTCCACGTATCCTTTTCGCCCCCTGTTCCATATAACTACAAAAAACTGAAATGCATATATTCTTCCTCTTTTATAGACTAGCACCAGCATCTACATAATCAGTCAAGTGTGGAATTGGAAACCATTCTATTATCTCCTCCTCCTACATCCCCTACATCCATTTGGCCAATTTTGCCTTCTAATTTGATCTCCAGTCTGTACCTTCTGCTTTTCTTCTGCACCTCATTAATCCAGCTCAGGACAATATTATTGGTTACCTGGACTCTAGTGATAGAGATGCCCCCTACCTTACTACCTCCATCTGCCATAACTTCTGAAATGAAATCCTGCTTAATATCCTGCTGCTGAATTTTTTTTTTTCCATCAGGATAAGGCCAAACTACCTAAGAGCATATAGGACCTTTGTGACCTGGGTCCCTGTACACTTTTTCTGCCTTCTGTCCAGCCAAAATACCTTTGATCCATTGTTCTAGCTATGCCAGCCTGCTTGCGTTTCCCTTGAAGTGCTGTGTCTTTTTACTCTCCATATTTTTGTCTGTGCTATTTCTTATACCTGGAATGCCCTTCCCCCATTACTTGCATCGTTAATTCCTATTCATCCTTAAAATCTCAGCTGAAGTGTCACCTTTTTAAAGTGTGTCTTATGTAATAAGGCTGAGCTTGAGTGTGCCTCTGAAATTTTTCCATGGCACTTTGTGTTGCCTGCTCCTACCACAACACATTTTGAAATTACAACCACTGATTTTTCTTGTCTGATTCTCACACTAGGACTGAGCATCTTGAGGCAAACAGTTATGTCATCAGGGCCCGCTTATATCTCTTTTCCCATTAGTAAATGACCCCAGATTGTAATGTATTGAGTTCTTATGTCTGCTTTGTATAGTTGTTCATTCAGTGAGTTAATATTTAACAATCTGCAATATTTGAAGCACTGTGCTTCTTCAACATCGTAACAGTTTGCCTCTGAAAGCTCACGGTCTGATCATCAAGGCGAGGCTAATTATATTTGTTTATTATGTTCTGTTTAAGAAATCTGGGAAGTATGTGACCATGTTGTACATTTTTCATCCAAAATGAGTGCATTTTTACTTGGTACTAAAAAGTGTATTATTTGGTTATTTGGGAAATCACTTTTGTGGAACATCTCATTTGCTGATAATGAATGCCAATGACTTGTTACCTTGGTATAAAAAAAACAAAATATGTGTGTTAGGAAGTACTGTCATTTTACTCAAAATACACAGATTTGAAAGTT